TAACTGTGAAGAGATTTCAGAATAGGAAAAATAGTAAAAATAGGAAAGCTCAGTATTTGTCTTTGTGTCCACAGTTTGTAGTAAGATTCAGCCAAGATAGAGTCAAATTAGTTGATGTGAATGGGCCTGTTCTGCTACAGCTGCCAGGACTCAAAGAGAACAGGGACTGGGCGAGGCCAGCAAAATGTTACCTCCAGTACCGTTTCAGGCAGACCAAGCCCAAGGACATGGGACTGAAAGCAGAGATGAGCCGAGGCCTTGTGAGAGAAAGCTGGGCTCTATGTAGGCTGCTTTGTGGTTGAGGCAGTAAACAGATACAGTCAGGGAAGGACTCTCCTCTTCTATACAACTTCATGACTTCATCCAGTTGAGGACCCCACTACAAGAGGACAGCGCTACCCTCAATGGAGAGAGCAAAAGAAAAAAGCATTTGGAATTCTCTATAATGACTGTTGTGAAGACATATGACTATTTCTTGGGGTGCGGGGGGAGACAATATTGGATGAGATTTTCAGGAGATAGCCATGCCCTTGCATGTGATTAAAAAGAAAAATATGTGCATCATAATTAAAGGAATCCTATGTGTCCTCACACACTAATGAGAGCTAAGTAAACATTATTTCTACTTGAACATCTCCATTTGGCAGGTATTAATATGTTAACCATTTAATCCTTTCTGACCAAACATAAATCATGACATTCACAATTTAGACTTAACTGATGACCCTGTTAAATAAGAGCTGTCTCTGAACAGGTATAGGTTTGTGATAAATATCTGTGAGTCCTTTCCTACAATGATATCTGCTTTACAATACACTGCAAGGAAAAGTTCGTACATTGAGAATAAAGAAATAATAAAAGGAATTATTTGAGATGTCCTAAAACAAAGCCATGTGTCATCTGAACATGCATTTACTAAACAATTCAAGAACAGAAATAACAAATTACAGTGTTTGACACAGGTGTGCTTATTCTTAATCTTCAGTCCCTTCCCTAAAGGAACATTAAGCTCCTTCACATATCAGTGACTGAAAACAAATTCCATATCCAAGAGCTTATCTCCTCTTTACGCAGCATTTTAAAAGGTAATTCTTTTCTTTTCATGTCAGTCTTACTCCTAACTGGTTGACTGAAAGTGCTCACTCCTGCATTTTCTCAGTATCCAGTTCACATAGGATAAGCGATTCTACAAGCTGCCGTTAACAGTACAACAGTCCTTTGCTTCTGCTGTTATCATTGCTGCCACGAACATAGCTCTCTCTTAAGCACTGAGCATTTTTTTGGTAGCTTAGTTGTGTCCCTGTATTAGTCACGTTCCCATTGCTGGACACAATACTCGACACCACAATTTAAAAAAAGGTTTGATTTGGTTCACAGTCTCAGAGGATTTAGTCCATGCTCTGCTGGCTCCAAGGCAGAAAGCTCATGGCGGGAGGGTGTGCTGGAGTAAATCTGTTCAGTTTGTGAACACCAGGAAGCACAGCAGAACAGTGCCAGAGGGGAAGGGGCAAGAGACCAGACCCAAAGCCACGCCTCCACTAGCCTTGCAGACACTAGCAATGTGCCACTCTCCCTCTAACCACCACGGTCCCCCTGGGTCTTCCTCCCCACTGTACATGCATTTTTTCTTCAGTTTGAATTTGAATAGTGAAGTTTTGTCAGAAAGGCATTCCTCAGCTTACACCCAGCTGTGCAGATTCCAGTCCTTTTCCAGCTCAACATTCTTCCCGTGGAAGCATCCGGCAGGCAGGCAGTAAGACCTATGATTCTAAATCATTGCTACTAAAGTGCTCGTGGAGAAGCACCATCACACCTACCCGGAATCCTCTCAAAATGCAAAATTTTGGATCCAGAAAGCAGGGCTGAGATCCACCCATTCAGAATCTTTTCACAAATTCTCAAGTGACTTGTGGGAACGTAAAGTATGAGAATCATTGTTCCGTTTTTCAATGAGCAATTTTTGGTTGTTAGGAAGAAAATTTGAAACTAAGTAACATTCAATCTTTGTATGGCAGCAGAACTGAGGGTCCTTCGCTTTTTCCTGCTTTTATTGCTTGGAAAACTCTAAGATGAAGAATTTAGGTCTAGATCTGTATGCACATATTCTGTAATTTACATCTAGTGCTGGACGTGCTGGTCTCATCTATCTGTATACTACTTCAGTGCATCACTACAACCAGCATCAACTTCACAACCAAACTGTGAGCTACGTGGATGTCTTCATGTCTGACAACTCTGCAGGCTCTACTGTCACTGTTACCGTCACGGAGCGAGCAAAGAGGTTCATTGCTCACAAAAAATTTTAGTCTCTTCTGGGGTATCTAAAAGATCCTAATGAGGGAGATGGACCATGGTATTTGATTTGCATACTTATATTTGAGCATGTTTCTCATTTACTATTGTGTACATGGTATTCTGTATAGAAATTGTTCAATATGAGCAAAAAATCAGTTGGAAAGAGAAAAAAAGAGATGAGTTACAAATTAAAAAGTGCACAGAATAATTAAATACAAGATTTTTTGTTTGTTTGTTTTGTTTTTTGTTTTTTTCTGTTTTTTTCTCCGGTACCGGGAGCCGAACTCACAACCTTGCGCTTGCCAGGCAGGCGCTTTTGCCGCTGAGCTAAATCCCCAGCCCCTAAATACAACATCTTAACTATGCATCTAGAATGTAGTGAGAATGTTAGTTAAGTTTCCAATATTCACAAATTGTTCTAAGTCACTCTACAAAACCCAGACCCTCAGCTTTTTAAGATAGGATGCTTCGTTCTCTCACTTCCTGGTAGTATTACCATTTTCTCCTCTCCAGGAAAGGAAAAGCAGCTATGCTTTCATTCCACTTGATTCTCCTGCTGGCGAGCGCCACACTCCCGTGTGGAAGGGCAGGAGCACGGGCAGGGCGGCACTGCCGAATCTCCTGCCTTCCTCTGTGCACTGCGCCCCACTCTGCGCTGTCTCTGAGCACAGTGCACGGCCAGCCGAGCGAACACTCTTGACTAAGCACACTGAATTTTTAAACGTTACCAAAATCCAGCTGACTATTCTGAGAGGAACAATATGTTCTTCAAGTATGAAAACTTCCCATTGTCTATGGTGTGTCATTTAATGACTCTAAATTTCAAAAATCGCCATTCATGCAAGCTCTTAGCATAACATGCACAAGCTATGGACAACGTCCATCTTTAAAAATACTGCTTTCTTTCATTATGTACATCATAATTAGCACACTCACACTTTCTTCTTTCTGATCCTTAAAACTTTACTCAACCCACAGCTCCTTGGTAAGGACTTCTCTGACCATCCCAAGCAATACTCTCACATCCTTTTTAACATTTGATCCTCCTAAGCTTACCCTCAAAATAAAACATCTCATTTTTCCAGCTAGCTCTACTCATTCGTCATAGCATGGTGGCCTGAACATAACAGCTTTCAAATGTTTACTAAGTACACGAAGGTTTCGAAGAGGGAAGATGAAACTCGAACAGCACTGGGGCTTATTATTTGCCCTTTTTATCACAACTGTTCCATGTCTAATTTTGATCATCAAATTCTGAGAATCTTGGACTGTTAGAAAGGTATACAAAGTAGCTAAAAAACTGAACAGCTGTGAAGAGTCAATGTTTATGTTATTATTAATATGGGGCATTTGGTTTACATGCTTATCACTGCTGTTAGACTCAACCAGTGAAGCTGCTGAATAATTTGACAAAGAAAGACTACTTTAATCCATCCCTCAGAGCAAACAGTACCCTTTAACGTTTTACTTGACTTCAGGTGGGAACTGTTACAACCACAGAACAGGGTGAGCCCCAGAGGCCTTCCGCAAGGTGCTGCAGAACGAGCTACGGTTATTGAAAGCATCACAGAGACCTACTAGGCTGTTTGCTGCAATTCCTTCAGGCCTTATTCGTTACTAATCTAATCCAAATTCTTCAACTTCAAGAAAGAGAAGACAACAACATTTTAGGCAAAATAAATACTTTATTGTTTTAATTTTTTTTTTTTAAGAAATCAGCCTTTGTGTGAATTTCAAACATTTATAAACCTCTGAGATATTCTTTCGAAACAGTGTTAACATCTCAACCACTTTTGATTAAAATTTCACACACAAAGAAACTTAACAGGAATTGAAAATTATAAATGCTAAAAGAATAATTCCAACAACGTGGCTGTTACTTTATACATTTATTCAACACATACAAAACCAAAGAGGAAACCATTTGCTTTTTCTTTCATAAAAACAAAAGGGTTTTCATTGGTTAAAAATGAATTAAAATCATTTACGTACGAGGAAAACAAATCTAAATTACTTCACTTTGAAAAAACGAAACCAGCTTATTCATTTCTACCCATTCAAGTCATAGACCCCATTATTTCGACAACAGTTCTACTTAGCTGACAAGACAGAAGAAACACTTCCTTAAAATAAGAAGTCTGGACAATGCAAAGAGTACATAGTGTTTAACATAAGGCACATTTCCAAAAGAAAAATACTATATAAGCTATAATAAAACTACATTTATTTTGGGTAAAGGAACAAGGCTTACAGTGTAAGAACATTAAGTAGCTGTAGGTAACCTCATGTAATTCTATACTACTGCTATTAGTAGCCTCCTCAAGAATTTAGAGCAATTTTTACAACAGAACAGTTTGTCTTCTTGGAAGTGACACTAATTAACAGCAGTGGAAGGAAAATCATTGGTTGCTTCAAGCTCTCAAAAAATGAATCAGTTATTGCACAGTAAGTACCTCATAGAGGTCAGTGTTGTAAGAAGCTAGTCTGAAGTAGTATGTTATTTATAAGTTGGTTATGTCTAGAAATCTTCAAGTTTTATAATTAATTCTACATAGGGAATCAGCTGGAAAAATAAGGACATATGAATAAATATTAGGCTTTTCAAACTGCTACAATTTTGGTAGTTGAAAGAAGAAACAGCAAAGTGCCTAAGTTTCTATAAATGTTTTTTAAAAACATAGCAACAGAAAAATTACACTGTACACTGTATACAGCAGCTCAACTCCGCCGAAAGTAGCTTCTGAAGAACAGATCACCCCCACCAGTGTATATCACCAATAACTCCAATGTTAACCAGCCAACAGGATCCCGGGCGATCTGAAAAAGAAGAAGTTACCATCAAACTGCTTTCAAACATTACTGATAAAGAGGCTTTAAAAGGGAGTAATTTTACCTTATATATGTATGTAAGAAAAGCACTGAGCAACATGACTTTAATCCACTTTACTTATTCTGTTTTCAGAAAATCAGAAATAGTATGTATGTGAAAACATGATCTTTCTTTGGTCACTACACATTTATTCAGAGTACTTCTTTTTTTACTTGTTGAGGTGCTGGGGATTGAGCCGAGGGAGGGCCTCACGCATACTACGCAAGTGCTCTTTACCCCTGAGCTATAACCTCGGCCTTCTCCCTTGTTTTCCAACATAAATCCTATTGTTTTATGAAACAGTTTATCAAAATATTTCCCCATTTTGACTGCTGAAATTATGCACACACTTTTCAAATTAAAATTTTGTTTGTAATATTATAGTGTATGGGTATTTTCAGTGCTATCAAAAATGCTGCCCTACTAAGGTAGATTTTTCTGCCTTTCATTCACTAAGTAGTATTATTAATATACAATTTATATGTGTTATTAAAATTATTAGTAATATAGAATTCATTTTAATAAGTTAACACATGAAACAGTTTTTTATAAATTATCACTAGAAATGGATTATGGTATTTCTTTAAAAGACAAAAATAACTGGGAAAATTGCTAAGAACTTATGATTAATTCTCAAAATCTTGTCCCTCAAATCGTATATCTGAAATACCACTGTAGCCAATGTCATAAAAATAAGATCTAAGTTTGAAGGCCAAATACCAGGATTTATGTGTTACAATGAAATTTCAATTAAAAAATACACATAATTCTGCAGAGTTTAATATTTGACTGGCTCACACTTCAACAAGGAGTTGCACGAGGTTTTCACACTGTGGATTAACATATCACACACACTGCAAAAATAAAAATTTAACTAGAGAAACAGAGCCCTGTGCTCAGAAAACAACTGGAAACCAAGCGGTTTGGATGTGCTGGCGCACACCTGTGACCCTGGCCCTAGGCGGCGGAGGCAGAGGATGGCAAGTTCAAGGCCAGCCTGGTCACACGGCAGGATCTTATCTAAACAAACAAACAAATCCCAAAAAAGTGCTAATTTAGATCAAGCTAAATAGATAAATTAAAAGTATTTACCTAAAGATTCCATTTAATGACTATCTTGCTTAGAATTTGACGCTTTATTTGAAGACACTGCTGCCAGAAGTCCACTTACAATTTCCCGTCTGATTTCGCCAACAATAGACTCTTTAATCTGTCATGGCAAAAGAGAAAAATAAACATTTAACATTATGAGTGACAGCCATTTTTTGTTTTCAGAAAAACATAAATAGCATTTAATTCCTGGAATCTGTTAGACATGGAGAAACTACAATCCCCTGTGACACTCCCGCTGACACCAGGGAGGCCGTGGGAATCTAGTCCACCATCCTCAAACCCAGACCAGCTCTCCGTCTGGTCCAGCATGACCTAGCAGCTAACACATATGAAACATCACAATGGAAATGTTATTTTCTAGATTTAAAAGACTTCTAGTCAATGATCTCTTTTAGGGAACCAAGTCACCTGGAAGAACTGACTGAAGGTTAGGTTCCCTCCAACGCTTTCCATTAACATCTGCCTTGCACAGAGTCAGCTGGCATACTGCTGCCTGCGCCCACCCAGAGCCCAGTATCTAAACTAGTTAGACACGACTTTCACAAGTACATTTTAAATGGAAAGAAGGATTACTTAGTATAAGTTTATTTTAAAACACAAAAAGCATCTTCAAACAACCCTAAAATGTGAAGAGACCGTCTTCTTCAGTGGTGTGGCCCGTCTGTCACCTGTCTATGGCTCCAGATAAGGAGATCATTTCATTCTGCTGCACAAGGGCAGGACATGTGGGAAATGACAATTACAGCCCTATTTTCTTCTGCAGATGTCTAAGTACTACATACGCCAATCCCTCCTTTCCTAACGGTACAGCACTGCGTCTACACAGCCATTTGTGAAGGCTTTAAATGTACCTTTCCTGAAGTAAACGGATAATGCCTTCCAAAATTAGCACTTGAGATGCACTGCACTCGCTTTTAAAATTTCTACATGTCCACAGTTTCCTGTCAGCCTGATCTATTTCCTAAAACGTTCCTAAGTAGATCTCAACACATTTCAATTGAAGTCTTTCCAAAAATGGCTCTGTATTAATCTGTGATGCAAAACTGGTACAGAAGGCATTGACTTCTACATAGTTATTCATAAACACAATGTTCCACCAACCATCTGCACTGTCATATATTTAAGTGACTATAAGCTTTTCATCTTACTTTCTATCAATATTTTTAAACTTTAAACAGCATCAAAAGTTTTTGAAGTTCACAGCACTTTAGATTCACTTTTAAAACACAGACACACACACACAGATACAAACATGAAATCCAGACTATCTTAGCTATAATACATGAACACAAACACATACAAACAGAACCACTGCAAATTTATGTTTATGAGACAATGAACAATACTCTTTCTAGTCTTGCTCTCAACCAAATCTGGCAATTTTATCATATTTCATTATTTGAAAAACAAACTAAATGGACACGGTGTACACCTATAATCCCAACTACCTGGAAAGGGAGCTGTGAGCCACTTCAGGGAAGGCACCAGGTCTTGCTTATCATGTATCCAAGCACAAATCAAGTGCTTAACAAACATTTGAAAGAAATATATATATATTATATATATATCTCTATTTATATATATAGAAAGAGAGAGAGAGAGAGACAAAGAGAGAGAGAGAGAAACAGGGGCAAAGAGAGAGAGACAGACAGAGACAGAGGGTGGGAGGGAGAGAGAGAGACAGGGAACGAGGGAAAGATGCAGGGAGGGGGACAGCGAAGGAACAGAAGACAGATAAACAGGAACAAAAGTAGAGAAAAGTTCAAATAAACCCCTAAATTGTTCTGTTGTTTCAAAAATATTTAAAATATATGCTAGTTTGTTTCATTTATACCACTAGCTTTTGCTCATTGAAACATTTTGTTCTTTTGCTTGTGTCTTCTTTGTAAGAGAGATTTTTCCATCTATAAATTGTACTCTGAATAACATTTTGGCCACTCTTTTAAGATCATGACGCACAGTATAGTAACTATTATTATTCTCTAATATTTTTATTTTTTCATAGAAGAGTATATTTTATATTGTCTTTATTAATAAATTGTATTACAATTAAATAATTCTAGAGGAAAAAAGGTTTTAATTAATGACAGCATAAAAGTGACAGAGTCAATATCAGACCCAAAGAAGGAGAGAAGGTAGAAAACCACATCACTGCAGATGAACCAGCACTACAAATGACACAATGCCTTCACCGATGCAAGGACAGCCTGCACAGTTCCGAAGTTTCCCGTGCTACTGAGAGGCTGGAAGGGTTGGGAGTGAGAGAGGAAACCACCAGGTCGGAGGAGACCACTTTTCTGAGCAGTGTCCCAAGGCAGCGTCAGCGGAAGGGAGCGCTGTGGCGTGTGGCAGTGTCTGGAGAACACCGCTCCCCTGAGTACCACTGTGTGGCAGCCACTCCACGTCAGAGACCTGCAGGAGTTTCCCTAGGAAGACACGGGAAGTGTATTTTCTCCAAGCTGCACACTCAAATCACGCCAGATGTGCCGTGGTAGAATTGTGAAAGGCATAAATCACGTCCAGCAGCTTCAATAAGCACAGAGGAACTTTCTAAACACACGGCCATCCATGTTTACTCTCTGACGTTTTAGTTCTGTTGCATCTGCTTCTGTGGGCACGTGTTCATTCATCCTATTAAGTCATCTTTTTATTTATACACGTGTATACATTTTAAAAGTAACTATGAACAGTTTCAGGCCACTGACCACATACATCAGCAATGATGGGCAGATTCTAAGGCAGTGCACTTTTTTCTTACTACAACACATACAATCTGGGCAGAGAAGGCTATCTTTAATCTGACTAAAGTTTAGTGACCCAACGAATGTACTGAATATTGGTTTGAAAGGACTCTGTTCCAATGCTCTCCTTCCAGAGAGGAATTCTATCGTACCAACACGTTAGAAACAATGAACGCGCCCTTGACAACCTCACATGTGGTGCCATGACAGAAACAAAGGACTGGCAGGCATCACTGTGCTCATGCACCCTGAGTGCAGTAAGAAAACTTCCCTGAAAACGCCTGCCAAGCATGCGTAATCCTCACCTGCAAAACTGTGTCCCCTGAGATTAAATCCCACCTTCCTGAGCAGCAGCTTTGTTAATGGGGTCACTGGCTCAGGACTTACTAAAAAAACAGACTCTAATGTTCTTGGTAGCTGATACAATAAGCTTAAAAAACGCAATATAGTACCACGTGTATTGAAGCAAAAAGATCACCAATTGGAAATAAACAAAATGAACACTAATCTGTTCTAAATATTTTGTACACAAACTGTAACAGAAAACCACTGTAACTGAACTAAGACAATCTTACTACAAATTATTTTTTATAACCATAGCCAGCACTGGATTAATCGATCAGTTAGTATATGCTTTTAAAATACCTCAAATGACCTTTGCTTGGTAAGCCCTTCTTTGTAGTCAGCAAGAGTAAACATTAAGCTTAACTTCCTCCAAAATACGCCAAGTACTAAACAGAGTAGTTGCTAATTAACAGGCTTAGTAATGAATTCCGAAAAATTCTCCACGTATCTGCCTGGCTTTACATGCCAGTTTAAATGTCTGCAAAGTATAAAATATCTCCTACCAAACAGGAGGTTCTTATGAATGATTAAGTAAATCTCTAGGACCACGGCAGCATAATGGACCAAGCAACAATTGACTTTTTCTATGATATGTCCTACTGGGCAAAGAATCTGTGTTCTGCTCTGACATGAGCGCTGTATCCCCAGGAAATGACTTTCAGCACAGATCAAGCCGCTACAACTTTAACAATGAGGACGCACGTGTGCAGTAATGAGCAGTGCAAAGTCAAGTCTTCAAGAAACTCAAACCGCAGCAAGTTAGGGGGAACAAAATCCCGCATTTCTAAAAAACTACCTCACAACCTACTTTCTCAACAAATGTAGACAGTAATTATTTAAATGGACCTTCGGTATTAAGCGGGCACCCAACCACAGGTACCCCTACCTGAGGCTAGATGCAGCTTGCTGAACAGTAGTCAACAGACAAAAACAGTAACACTTGCAGGACAACTGAGTACAACTAAGACCTTCTACACGTTAGCTTCTGTCATGAAAACAAGGTGCATTTCACGCTCACAAGTGTGCAGTTTCATCCATAGGAGTCTTGAGGTGAACACACATAACTGCACTCAGCTGAACCTAGAAACACAGCGAGCAAAACGCACATGACTTAAACTCTACCAGTTATCTCATTTCTCCACGATGAGCCTTCTACCCACATCCAGCACTAAAATTTCTGGTAGATTTCAGATCACCACCCTTCCTCTGCTTTGGCATAATTCACAAGCTGTGGTACTCTGAAGTGTAATTCCTTAAGCAAATTTCAGGATTTTTAATTAAAGATGATGTAACATCTTTTAAGTATTATAGCACTTGTGTACTTCTTAACCACTTAAAATGCACAGACCTGTGCTACTGCTTTGATTTGTCTCTTCTGTCTCTTCATGTCACTGCAGGAGCTCCAGTGGTGTACTCAGCGTGCGGTATTTACAATGTCACTGAAGTTTTGAGTGCTCTGCATCCAATCCTGTGTTCCCCCCTAACACCCATAAACTGCATGGGTCTGCACAGCACAGCTTTTGAGGAACACAAACATCGTCTATGTGTTCACAGCAAAACTGACTGCACTCATTTTTTCTTTTTCTGGCAGTACTGTGAGTCGAACTGAGGGCCTTGCACAAGCTTAAGCAAAGTACAATACCCTCCACTGAGCTACACCCCCAACCCCTTTATTTTTCATGTAACTCTCAAGCTACTGTCATGTAGCTGTAAATGATGATTCTTGGTATTTACAAACTAATCTTAGGACGCAGGTTAATGGTTGGATTAAGGGAAGAATTGGGTCCATTGCCACCATTCTTGGCCTGTATCCCCTGGAATCCTGTTGTATGTTACAGATTGACTCTAAAATACATTAGGTCCATTTTGCTAATTATGCTGGACACACAGTTTAAAAATTCAAAGCGACACTGACTCTGATTTCTCTGGCTCATTTTGGCCTTTTCTATTCCTAAATGCTTAGGAATACTTCAAGTATACTTGAATACTTTATTAGAGGAGGAGAATCTGAATGCTTGGAACCAGAAATGTTTGAGGTTCCTCGTTTTTCAGATTTCTGGAACACTTACACAGGCTTCAAGGATTGAGCCGCCTTCATCTGAAAATGAGTGGGGGACGGACAGAGCGGTACAGGACTCACCTAACTTGCAAAGACCCTGGGTGTGACCTCCAGCACCACAGGGGGAAAAAGCTCAGAAATGATCTGAAGGCTTAAACTTTTTGAAGCCCTGATAAATTTTTCTATGCAATTTTTTGATTTATCTTCCTGTCATCCTTAACCTCCATGACTTCATGTCTTACATGCATTTTTCTTTTACCCTAAACAGAGGGCTAATCAGATACTTAAAATAAAGTGAGTGTTTCTTCTGGGGTGGTGTGCTGGAGACTGAATATAAAGCCTCACCTAGGCTAAGCACAGGCTCTGTCCCTAAGGTGTATCTACTGAGCTTCTAAACTGAGTTTAGAGATGTAATAGGAAGAATGAAAGAGCCTTTATGTTGCTGTTTTTCATTTTTATTTTTATTTTTTTGCCTTTTTGAGAGTCTTGCTATGTAGTCGAGGCTGGCCTTGAGCTCACTTTGTAGCCCAGGCTGGTCTTGAACTCACGGCGATCCTCCTGCCTCAGCCTCCCAAGTACTGGATTACAGGTGCGTGCCACCATGCCCGGCTTGTTGTTTTTTAATATAGCATCTCATTGTGTAATTCAGGCTGGCCTTGAGCTCATGACAATCCTCCTGCCTCAGCCTCCTGAGTTCTGGCGTACAGTTTGTGTGCCCCTCCCTGCTTGGCTTGAAAGATTCTTTCTTTTTAGTGATTTTAGTACCTTTTATTGGAAAAACTATGGATAATTTTGGTTCTTGTTATTTTTGAGGATTCTTATAACAAAGGAAACAGGATACAAAAGAAATACTTAACATGCAGAAGTTTTATGCTGTGCACTAGACTGGTTTTCACAAAAGGACACTGACATCAGAAGCAAAGAGGGACTAAACATCACAAAAATATCTCCAAGCAACTCTCTGCCTATAACACATGCTGTTCCTCAGTAACTGAATTCAGCCTAAAGACCGTTACTAGACAGTGTCTCAATTCACCTTGAACCGCTGACTACTGACCTCTGCAGCCCCTGTGGTGATGGAGAACTACGGTGAATACTCCAGATTCTCCTGCTGTCCTCAGCCAGGGTACACTTTCTTAATCATATTGTATTTCAATCTCTGAACAACTCAAAATTTCCACCCTTCTCCACCCACCAAATCAAACAGATCAAGTTCTTCATCCTTATTAAAATCAGAGCACCATTTCTCATGTCAGCTGAAATGATAAAATAATACCTAGCGGAAAAGTAAGTCATAGTCCCTCATTTTTGGAAATGGCAGATTCAGAGGGTCTGTCGCATGTTTATCTCCTGAAAACCTGACAAAACCCTTTTTACCAGTGTAGATACAGAAAATGGCAGCGACCTCACCTTGATGTCTCAACCTGCAGGGTGCCGCTCCACACCGATCAACTGACATGAGCAAGGTCAATGGGACAGCGAATGGGAAAGCTCCCCGAAAATGACGGAATATGGTGACCAAGAGTATCTGACAAGTGCCGGATGTTCACGTGTGCCCCACATCCACGTGAGTGGTGTGGCACAGACTGGACTCACCTCCCGTATGACCTGCTGCAGCTCATCCTGCTCCACGTTTCTCTGCATTTCCTCAGCCGCTGGCATCACCGAGAGATGCCCACACTCTCGCTCCACGTCAGAGTTAGGTCCTACAACGTGCGCGCCTTCCTCAGCCACGCCAGCTTCCTCAGAACTTTCCAGTTCTGGAGGCGTCTGCACAGAGCCTGTTCTGGAGGGAGCAGTTGGCGTCAGGGCCACGGATGCCCGGAACACTTTCTTTCTTGCCACTGACTGGGCTTTGCGTTTGCCCCCACTTTGCCCGGGAGGCACTGCAGTTCTTCTGCTGGCGTGACGTGAGGGACTAGAGCACACAGAAGACGACTCTGACGTAGCTTGGGAGAAAATCGACTCTGAGCTTTCTCCAGGAGGAATTTCAAATCCCATTTCTCCAAGTCCCAGACCCAATTCAGACTTCAGGTAGGACTGTTCCCGCATCAGTTCAGTGACCTAGAGAGGAGAAAAACTCATTCTTCCCTCTTGAAACAAGACTGACATCTTAGCTCCTAGCTATGAACCCTTAAACTACTGACTCTTAAACTCCTAGCTATGAACACTGCCAAAAATCACAGTAACTTGTAAGACGTACTTAATCCTATTACATTATCTTAGTAACTACTCGGTTTCATTTTCAAACTCACCCAATTTAAATTCATAGTAAGTTCAAGCAATAAAAAGGCTAACTAGAAAATAGTGGGATGAATTGTTAAATGTATCCAAATTACTCAGAAGGAAGAGAGGAAGAAACAAAATAGTTACAAATGAATCAATTTGCCTAAAATATAATACAAATCAAACTTCTGTTCAAAAAGTCATCATCCTACAGATCGCACTTAAAGGACCTGGGATCTAACCATCAGAGCAATTTCCCCTGCAGTAAAAATTAAGTATTTTTCATGGTGCATTATTTCCTTTAGCTCACCAAGGTAAAAATCACAACTGCAATTAAGCTTGCTTTCAAATGACCTAAGAAGGAAATGAACTTCAGAAGTGGCAAACTCACTTCCAATTACTTTAGCTAACTTAGCAAACTCTGTATTTGACAAAACATGCACTTTGTCCACACTAGGAAAGTCGTGTGTATGAGACGTTACATGGTGCCCAAGCCCAATGACTGAAAGGAGAGAGGCTTACTGGTTCCATTACATTCAAGGGAGAAGGACAGGACAAGTTATCAGCACTTCTGCTGCCACACATTCCCTGGAAAGGTAAGCAGAGACTTTACACATGTCTATACATTTTCCCAAATTACGAGTGCTTTAAAATAAAATGAACTGGCTATTTACTGCCCTGAAGTACTTATTGATGTCACAACAGCACCCCTCAACTACCACGGGATCCTATAAAATGCATTCCTGTGAGAGAACGCTGAGAGTAGGCACAGAGCGGTGTGTTCAATCTCTGCTCCCACCAACGCACATTTCTACGCAACGTGCTCTACACCTGCAGAGACGCTGGCAAGAATAACAACGCAATGCTGACGCTGGGCACAGTGGCAAGGCCTGTAGTCCCAGCGCTCTGGGTAGCAAAGGCAGAAGGATCACAATGTTGAGCTCAGCACTGGCAATTTAGTGGCACTCTGTTCCAAAATAAAAGTTTATTTAAAGGGGCTGGGGACGTAGGTCACTGTGAAGGCCTGCATTCAATCTCCAGTACACCTCCCTGCCAAAAATAACAATGCTGAACTTAAAATTTTATGGAAATCCAATATTAGAAGTAATAAAAAGTGGTACAAAAAAGACAAATAGTTTTGCTATTTCTTATCTTGATTGTACACATTTTATCAAAATACCTCATTTTAGCCCTTAAATAACAAAGAATAACGGGCCAGAGAGTGCAGCTCATGGTAGAACGGTCTGTGCTCAGCATGAGGAGACTGATTCTGAACCCCACCATGGGGGAGGGGTGGAGTTAGCTCAAAAAAAGGAAAAAAGAAACCAAAAGGAAAAGTTTAAAGGTAACACTATTCAAATGCAAGCGAGGGCAAAAAACCTAAATATACTTGTATGCTTTGGGAATACACATATGCAGTAATTCAAACTTAGTCATACTTTTATGCACTACAATTTTTCTTTCAAAAACTTTAGACCTTTTTATTGACCATTATTTTTTCTTATGATCAAACATGACCATTAAAAATTTTCAATGCGTACTTACACATTAAATATTTAAGAGAATTATTACAACTTGTACTTAAAACTGATTGTGTGAAAAAGCTCTTTCAGCATTCTGCATACTTTTAATGTCACTAAATAAATGGTTTAAAGTGAAGGGACTTGCCCTAAATGACAGGGAACATGTTCACCCAGTACAAACGCTCGATGCCCCCTGGAGCAGCCTACCATCAACGAGGAGGAGCGGAAGGGCGAAGGCACCTGCGCGGTGCGGAGCTGCTCCTCCAGGTCCAGCAGGCGCTCCTCCAGCTGCAGCTCCAGCTCCTGCAGCTCCATTCGGACTGAATTTCTCAAACTCTGCAGCTGATCAACTTCATACCTACCAGCACGGGGAAAAGTACAAACTCTGATAGAAGTAGTTTGCAAGTTCCTATCCATAACGGTTTTGGTAAGTACTACAAACTAACAGAAGGTACCATATGCCAAGTTTTATAAATCTGCACAGGAGCAGTGCAGGAGGCATAAGCACTAGGACAGTGGTCTTGTTCCTCTCCTCTTCTCACCAACTGACCCGCACACCAACTACCAGGCTACAACTACCCTCTTCAATAGTTCCCCGAAGACTTGGAAGTCAGCAGAACATTGTGTATGCCTACTTTATACACAGGAGCTCACAAACCAGACAGGACACAGAGCAGCAGAAACAAGAACTAGTTTTTTAAACTATAAGTTGAAAATGTTTCTATTCGAGTTATGTTGAGACAAAATGAACGTCTACCTTTCCTCCTCAGTCATGTGGTGATAAACCAAGTTTTGCTGGCGCAGCATTGCCAATTCTAAATCCATCATTTGTGTTCTAAACAAATTCAGGCTCCGCCTCATTACTTGAAGCTCCTGAAAAGTATTCTAAAATGAAATAAAACAAAATTACACTTCTAAATCATAAAATTGTTTTGCAAAGCACAGGTATCAGTAGGAACTTACTTCATAAAGAGGTAGAACAGACGATTTCTGGGTACTGTATGGAGCAGCAGCAAGGTCAGGTCCTCGCATGGGGTACTTCAACAAATCAAAGGAGCGAGAATTAAAACCAGTGTCACAGTGGCTACTTCCAAACTTTCGATGGTGTTAAAAAGGCAGAATTTGAGGCCTATGTATTTTTCTCTTTGAGGCAAAAGTAAACAAAACTCGATATTGTATGTAGGAACAAAAGAAATCAATGCTTCCTAGTACTCTTAGCTGTTCTAGGTAAGAGGCAACCTATGTATTATTCATATCTATGCTTTATAGGACTTCCTTTGTGCCTTGAGAACATATAGAAGCAAAAGTGAAACCCAAAAATACAGACCAAACTGCAAATGTCACCCAGAGGTTACAGGCATGACTGATGTAGCTCCAGAGAGCAGCAAGCAGCATCACATTCCTAAGACATTCGAGCACCTGCTCTATGCCACTATCTCAGAGAAGGTGAAAGGCCCCCTAGCCATAAGTGTTCTCACATATAACAAGAAATGTTTTTTAAAAAATTATTATAGAATTTGAGGAGCAGGGGTGCTGAGATGAAAACAAAGATGCAGATTAGCTAAGTTTTTCCAACAGTGGTAGCACTTGAACAGGAACTAGGATTTGGTCATGCAAAGAAAGGCAAGGGCAGGGGACCCAAGGAACATAAACACAAGTGGCACGTTCGGGTCACCAAAAGCGCACAACCCGCAGAGGCCAGCGCACAACCCAGAGCACACAGCTAGGCAAGGAGACTGCAGAAAGCATCGGTCTGGGGAGGGAGGGAAGGTGGGGAGATTCGTTAGCAATGGCACATCCAAGAGGAAGCAACCACCGCCTGGGCAGAACAGCTGGCCCAGAGAGGTACACAGGGGTGTAGGTGGACAGGGCTCTGGCAAGCCCCAGCTACACACAACTGCAGTGAAAACATGGGACAGTTCAGGCAGAGTTAGAACTACACTTCATAACGGGGAAGAAGAAACATCCACATTCTGGTCAAACTGCAAGGGGAAGGGACTATCCCAAGGATACAATCTGTTTTTAAGAGACGGTACATCTTGTATGACTTGGAACATTACAACTTTGGTTTTTACTTTCTAAGTGGCTTGCTGTCTGCCCTTTCAGTGAGAGGTTACATGCATTCTCAATTCACACTGTACCTGATTCTTTCTCTCCTCTGGAGCAGTCTGAGTCTTTGAACCCAGTGGAAGGAGACTAAGTCTGGACCAGGAGACCAGCACCAGAGGTCAGTAAGTGAAGGGGAAGCTTAGTCAGAGAGCTACAAGCAGGACCAGGAGGACACGGTGCCCCTGAAGCCAGCAGGACAAGAACTCAGAAAAGGAAGAGATGGTCAGCACATCCAAATGGCAGGAAAAGAGAGAAAGATTTTTGAGAGAGTTTTGTTTTTGTTTTTTTTTTTAAACAGCATGACTTAATATTTTTAGAGTAAGGCAAAAACAACGGATGACAGACTGAAAAAGGGAGGCTACCGAATGAGCAAAATCCCCTCAGGAAGGGAAGGAGACTGAACAGAGAAATTAACTCTGTCAGGGATGGTCACAGCTTTTCCCATGAGGCAGGAGGGACAGGTGTAGTTTAAACACGGAAAGAAACATGCCAGAAGGGTCTCTGCTTCCCAGGGAGTTAAAAGGTGCCCAGAGCAATAACATAAAAAAGCTTACAAGGACCAGCTCTTCCTCCTACCTGTGACAGGTTCTGCAGCGAGTTTCTAATGTGATGCAACACTCTTCGCAGCTGCATCTCTATGGCGGAAGGAGGGTTCGCTGCTCGGTAGGGGTAGGCAGCGTGTGAGTGCGAGTAAGGACAGCCGAGAGGGGAGGCGAAGGCCGAGCAGGCGGCCCCCGGGATGCTGGGGACGCTGTGGGTACTGAGCGTCCTCACGTGCTCACACAGCGGCCTGTCTGGCCACTCGTGCAGAGTGTGAAGGGAGCAGGTGGACTGAGATATCCGTGCTGGAACAAACTGCGGACACGCAGGAGTCCTTCCGCGACGGCAGTCCTCCAGCGGGCTCACCTCACTCCGGGACGGCTCTTCGTGCTTCTTCACGGAGGGCGGAGAGATGAAAATGGTGGATGTGACTAAGGACTGACCGTCAGGCGCAGGCGCCCCCTCCTCCGATTCCTGCTGCTCTTCCGGCGTGTACTTATAGGTGAAGGAGGGTGGGCTGCACCTGGTCTCCTTTCCGGGAGACAAGCGGACGTTGACGGAGGACACAACCCTGACTGGGCTCAGTAAGGTCGTTGGTAAAGACTGAGACCTTCTCAGGGGGTAGCCCGCTTTTGCAAGCAAGTACCTCTGTTTTAACAGATCCTTCGATTTGATCAGGCTCCGCCCTACCCTCTGATTAGACAGGCTGCAAACCTTCATCTGCGCTCTCTGCAAAGCTGTGTTAACTCTGTCCGCAGAAGAGGGAGGCCCAGCTGTACTCTCAGAGCTTAGGGTACTGCATTTGGCTTCAATCGAAGCCAGTGATTTCAGGATATGGTGTGTGGTGTACCGGGGAAATTCACACTCGCTGCTCTTGTCCACATCACTTTCCCCACCTGCGTCCCTCAGCAGCTCCACCGTCTGGGCTGAAGGTGAGCTCTCTTCCGCCTCCGGGGCGTCAGTCGCAGGATCTCCTGGACTACAGGAGGATGGTTCCAGCCCCGCACTCTCCTCAGGCCCGCACTGAGGGAAATCCTGGCTGTCCGACGTTCCTTTGTCAGCTACTGCTGCCGCCTTCACACTTCCTTTCTGAAGAGGGCTTGGTAACTCCTCCTCTGACTCATTAAAATAAGGCTGGTCTTGTGCTGTTGGTGTAACAAGGTCTTCACCGAATGATGTGACTGTCATCTCGCTGTCACAGCTATCAGCGCTACTCCCCATGGCTTGCAAGGGCTCGTGGACCTGTGAAAGGGACCAGGGGGAAGATGAGCACACGATCACTAGCCCCACGGCAGACGGGCACGGCGCAGCCGCACGTGTGCGGTCTCCAACCGCAGCTGCGGGCCTGGGCTGCGCGTAACTGTTTGCACTGCCCCAGCCAGCTAACCCTGCCTCGCTCTCTCACAAAGGTGATTTTAGAACTTCACTATTTTCCCTAAATTTCCTTTCCAACACCCACCTCCTCTTCTTCCGACACATAACACTGACTCCAAGAGAAAATGGCCAAATATGTCCTCGCATCTTCTCCGAAACCTACACGCTTCCTCTCTCTCTTCCCTCGTTCCCTCTTTCTGGCCACTGTAACAGAAACGATCCCTTTTATCAAAGTGATTCCCCCAGCCGCTTCTGGTCGCCTTCTCTCCAGGACCAGGACGTTTCTCCGTAACTTAATCCCAGACTCTCCTGGAATAAATTCATTCTCTCTCTGTCTCTCTGGCCCTTTCCCTTAGCTGAACAGCTCCCTAAGTCATTCCAAGGCTAACAAGACACCAGGCCAGCATCCAAACTTGAAAGTACAGTCCGCCTCCCTCACCTTTCTCGCTCATCACGGACTCACACTCCAGCCATGCTTCCTCCCTCAGAACCGCTTTGTCCTGCATCTGCCTCCTGCACAGCCACACCCTGACCTTGGGAGACCCACAATCGTCTTTCCCACACTCTCCTCCACCCGTTTTTTCTGCCCACTTTCTTTCTGAGTCACCTTAGATGTATCTCTTCTCTTTACTCTTTACTGTGTTCTGTAAGTTTTTTTGTCATTCCAATCCCTGTTAAAATTTGCTTAATGATGTTTTAAAGGTTTTTCCTGTGTGCTATTGGACTCCACTTGCAAACTGCAAGCTCATCAAGAAGCCTCGTGCCTACTTTTTGAGTTACCTAACAGAATCCAGCACAAACATCAGTATAACATGGACACCTGCTGTGAGGGATTAGTTATTAAACCCACACCTAATATGAGTTATTAAATAAGCAAAGCAGTTACTGCAAACTGCTCAAACACAACGATTACACAGCAAGAAAACTAACAGACCTCACAGGGCAATGAGCAAAATAATCTGTTTACTGGTGACCCAGGAGTTAACAACCAGCTTTAAAAAACAAAAAATTCAGTCAGAGAAGGAATTAGTGAAACCTACAATTCCTAATCAAATACTTACACAACATCTACATCCCAGAAGTTCTATTCTTATTGTCATTTGAAAAATAGCAGTCAGACAGATTCAGTCTTGAAATAGCTATTGAAAAAAAATCACCTCTAAATGAGTAAAGTAGTCATATTTCCTATTATAAAGAAAACTTTACCTGAAGATGGTTCAGGGAGAGGCAGTCTGCAGAATCCTCAGCAAAACCACTGCTATCAGAATGCTGGCTTGCAGTGCGTAACAGATGATCTACCAGCAAGAAAGTGTAGTTATTACAGACATGGTTCCCAACAGATGAAAGACACAGCACAGACTCCTTCTTAGAGAAGTATGCATTACTTAGGCAAAATTGTAGCTTCAAAGCACAGGAGGTAACTCAAGTTCAAAGGAAAACTGAATCAGATTTTTTACCAGAAACTCAGCACTCAGTCACTAATTAATCTCTAATTATATTGCACTTTGGTAAATAACAATTAATGTCTATTATTAAGAAAACAGCTGCCTGAAATTAAAAAAAAATTGCCCCTACTAATATAGACATCCTAAAGTAAACCATTCATACTACCTAAAAATGTGAAGACATTTAAGGAATTAAAATTAGAATTTTAAGTGTAGAATATACAAGACATATATCTTCATGCTATGTTTATAATCCCAGCCCTCTGCGAAGCTGAGGCAGGACAGCAAGTACGAACCTTGTCTGGACTTAAGACTCTGTCTCAAAAGAAACAAACAAACAAACAAAAAAACGAGGTATACTTAAACATCTCTGATGTTTCAAATGATGCAAATATTTTTAAGTTATAAAACAATTCTTTCCCAATAATTTCAATCAGATTAAAAAAATATGCAACATATGTTTATATAACATGCTTATTTTTCTGCTGCAAAACTCAACTACTAGTTAACCTGGAGAAATGTAAGTAAAATGGCCAACTACGCACAGTAAGCATGGCCTCCTTCCATCCACACTGCAACTGCACAGTGGAGACTGCGGCTACCCATTCCCTGAGGGCCTGCCCCTCATGAGACGGCAGGCGTCCCGGAACTCAGCAACAGGCTGAATGGAGTGTGTCTACCAAGCCCTCGTTCACTTAAGATCTGAACCTCACCCAGAGACAACCAGATGCTGCAGCTGAACAAAATCCCGAATCAACTAAAGTTCACTTGATGTTTGAAAATATTTCACAGCAGCCTCAGGCTTCATGGACTAAAGTGAATTTTTTCCCATTAAAAATTTATAGTAATTCTGTATGTTGTTGTAATATTAATAAAACTACATAATGAAACATAAAAAATTACTCCATACTTAAATAAATGAATTATGAAACTGAATTGCAATAAACTGTTATATCAGTATTAATTAGACAATAATAAAAAGGATTAATCCCTTAAGTCACAGAAGTTATCATAGAATCATGTTTTTCTCTTTTTTAAACTAGATTGTCAGGCTTTGAAGGCAGAAAACTTACTTATTCCTCATAAGCCAGTAAGTTAGAATAAGCTGAAGATAAAAAATGATTGCTCAGTAAATCAATGGTAACTGTTTCCTAAACACAATAGAATGAAATGGGCATGTAAGTGATTTGGAAGTAGAAGTGTCTGTCTGGTTGGGCAAAGGCACTTGCCATGGGCCCAGAGAAGCCAGAGGGGCCTGCCAAGCCTGGGTTCCCTGCGCTGTTTCATCTGCAGCAGAGGAAGGCCTGGGCCGCCTCCTCTCGCCACTGCTGAGCTCTACCTGTGCTCACAGGTCAGGTGCTAATGTGGACTGATATGGCTTCAGAGCGGGTGGGGCATCAGAAAGAACAGAGGCCCAGAGGCAAGTTTTTACTGTGCTTTTCACCACCATAAGCAGTAACTGCTCTCCTCTTCAAAATGGAGTAACAGTAATTCTTCCATCTCAGCATGGCTCCTTCAGGAGCGAAAGAGAACCCCAGTGCAACTGCTTTGCAAATTATAGAGAACAAGCTAGGTCTTTGGCCAGGCATTTCTGTTTTATAGTAAATAAAGTTTTCCATTAGAAAAGTGTGATTAAACAGGATTAACTCTCTGTTCTGACGGTATGATTTTATTTCTAATTTAAAGCTAGGGTATTAGAGGAGGCAGTAAGTAAGGGGAAAAATTCTCAAATCTGGAAACTTTATTTGTTCAGTATCATAAAGAAACAAAACAGAAACCTGTATATTTTCTGTTAAAGAAAATTTGTGTGTCTTCTGTAACAAGAAAAATTGGGGGTTATTCTCACTGTACCTACCAAATATTATCCTGTGACACTGAGGTGATTCCCCAATCCTAAGTAAATCCCACACTGGATTAGGTATTAAGATGATTTTAACTTCAAAAGTCCTCCTCCTAATGCAGTATATCTACTTTTACTAAATTTGTGAAATGAATAATTACCAATGCTTCTAATTCTGCAATTATGAATAATTTAAATTCCTTACATATCACATTATGAGAACTGATAGGTTACCTTCCAAAAACCTAAATTACTATTGCAACTTCTGTCCCTGTCATGTACATATTGTAAAAACTTCTATTGTTAATAAAAAAAGTTTGATTCACAAAAAATATTAACATTTTTGCTTATGCCACCAGAAATTTTTCTTCTATAGTCCTAGAAGAAAAAACTCCAGACACAAATACAAATCACAGTCCATCTTTTCCCCTCACTGTGATACAAATTAATTTTACTGGTATTTAGTCCTTTGACACCTGGCAAGCTGTTTTTTCCAATGTGTTCCTTGTCTAACATCCACAGCAAAAATTCCTTCATTTTCATGAACCTGCCTTAGAGCTCAGAAACACACACAGGTACTTATGGAGGTACAAATGGAAAAACATCATGTAGAGAAGTTCACTTCGTGTCTGTCTAGAGCTACAGCAACCTAGTGAGGGTGATGCTCTTATTCTTTAGTGCCTACTGCAATAAAAGAAAAAAATCACACCCAAATGTCCCTTATGAAGCAACTTCAGAGATCAGGAGGGAACAAACATGTAATTTCCTATTCTAGGAACATATATATAAATCTTTGTTTAAAAAAAAAGCAGGGTGGTGCAGCAAGTGCAAAGTTTTAAAAATACACAGTCGTCCTACTGTCAGTGGTCATTTTAACTTCTTCTTCTCCCTTTCTTTAAATCTCCAAAGCTTCGTCAACTTTAAACCAGACATCTTTTTATGATTGCAAGTTAAAAGTGAAAGGAATGGATTTAAAGGTTCTTTGGTCAATAATTAATAATTCAAGAGAAGCATAATACTTACAATCACTCACCTTTGACTCACAGTTTGAATTTACTTTAACTAGGTTTAACTACTGCTGAGAAACTGGTACTTTTTGCCAGAGGTATAGTCCATGTATCATACTTATAAGTTATATATGAATAATGAAAACACACTGATGGGTAACACAAGTGTATTTTTCAATCATAACAGTGTAAAAGGTAGCCCTACTCTGTTGCTCTTTGGATCACATGTGACTGTGTAAAGAGTGATCACAGGATAAGCAAACTAGTATTAGTGTATAAGCACAAAAGTTTTCAAGAAAACACAAAAAATCAGATAAGCAAATAATGAAGAAGGACGCCTGCATCCCCAAGCTTTCTACAACTACTTCTGCTACACACACTGAGCATGTTTTCCAAATTCTCTGACATCACTTGGGTAAACGAGCTTTGGAACCAATGGAGGTTAGCTGACTTACCTCTTTTGGACTTGGTGAGACCTAGCTGGTAAGTGGCTGGAACATGAGGAGCTTCTCCCTCTGTACTCTGAACCTAAAGAAGAATTTTAAGTAGTTAGAGCTAATAGAGTTACACAAACAAAAAACTGAACAGTCTGAACTGAAAGAAGAATGATTTCTTTACAACCTTTTATTAAACAAATCAGTCTGACTAAAATGCACTAAAGCACTATATAAAGTTTAGACACTTTTGTCTCAAAATAATTAGAATACCTTACCACTTAATTTTCAGATCTAGTTTCTAGTTAACAATAACTTTAGTAGTTAGTAGGGAAAAAAACACTGCATGCACAAATGCTTTCACTTCTAAAAAGTTGCTGTAAGATGTTTTTTAAAAAAGCCAGTTCTCTATCCCAAGAGGAATGTGAATTCTCTCTATGCAGCAGGCTGTGAGCGACACACATGACAGGCATTTTACCAGTCCTGCATCTGAGAATGGAACATCAAGCTCCCATTGCAACATTCTCAAAAATCACAAATTTTCAGGTATCAAATATTCATATTTAAAACTGCTTTGTCCTGGTATAAATATTCTTTTAAGACATACTTTGGGGCCAAGCATGGTGGCATATGCCTGTAATCCCAGCACTTGGGAGGCTGAGGCAAGAGGATCGTCGTGAGTTCGAGGCCAGCCTGGGCTACAAAGTGAGTGTAAGGCCAGCCTGAGCTGCATAAAGAGACCCCGTCTCAAAAAAAAGACATATTTTGGAAGTTTTAAGTACAAAGGTAGGTTTTATTACAGAACTAAAATGCTGAAAGGCCTGAACTATAAATCCTCCCTAAAAACTCTACTTGAGAAGGTACCAAACCTACAAAAAGTTGTCTTTTGGTGCATCTTTTTCTATTGGCACAACCTCATTACTTAGGAATGCTCACATTCCTAATCGCTACCCTCACTCTGCAAATATTTTACCTATTCTAACAAAACTGACTCTGAATAAAGATTAAAAATTTGGGGGAGGAGGAAGTACACTAATTTCCGTCACTTCATCTGTAATGATTAGTACTGAAATACTAAGTACTATCTGAGTAAGGTGAGCCAGATCCAGAGTAGAATTCTGCTAAACTTAGAGCTGCAGAGCTGTGCGTCTACTGAAGAAGAAACATTCCACAGGACTAAGAGAGAAGCCAGCAAGAAAAAGCTCCAAGTTTAAAGGTATTATTACCCACCCACAAACTCTTCCTATTAGGAATCTTTTTAAAACTGAAAGCACAGTGGTCATTTAAAGCCATTACCAGTATAACAGACGTATAAGTCCTACGATTCTTTGTTATTATTTAAAAATAATAATATAGTACTCAAAGCAGTAGAAACAAGTTCAACAGGAAAACCATTGTTTTGTGTGAGAGGGAACAAAATGCACTTCTTTTTATATTCAACAAAAGGCCTATTATTAGCTACTGTTCAAACTCAGCCTACTTCAAAGAGTTTTCTATAAAATAAATACCAAGCACATTAAAACCATACAAGAGAAACCAAATGAATTTTTTATTTATGTTCTAAGGGTCTCTGCTTGGATACTATCTTGACACATCCCAAATTATAATCTCTTACTTTTAAATGTAGGTTTATCACATAATTCTATTTCTTTGGACTTATAATAAAAATTAATTAGAAAGTAACAAAACTTTAAAGAACAGGTTTTCCCAGGGTATCATTCTTTAAGATGTTACTCTTGCTGGCAAGGTGGATCAAGCCTATAGTACCAGGAGGATCAAATTCAAGACCACCTTGTGCAACTTACAAGACCCCATCTCACCATAAAAAATTTAAAAAGGGCTGAGGATGTAGCTCAGTATGAGACCTTGGCTCAATCCTCACTACTACAAAAGTAAATAAATAAACAAAGAATAAAAATGTTAGTCTAGGCAAAAAAAAAAAAAAATTCTGTTCTTTCATCTTCAATTACAAAGTCCCTCATTAAGTGTAAGAAAGGGACACTTAAAAAATCCGAGAGTCAAGTTTAACTAATAGAGCTAGTAATGGCTGAATACTACTCTCACTTAGCAAAATCAGAGTATGCAACTGCTGACGACAGAAACAGACAAGCACACGCAGCGGCGAACGTCTTGGATGATATTGTATTCCGGTCACAACACGCAAAGGCAAGCAGTCAAACTGAAGATGTGCACACCTCAGAGCGTGGGGACGCACACAGAGGATCACACCGGGACAGAGGGGACTTGCCCTGCTCGGCAGTTCAGATGCTCAGTAGGACTCTGGTCCTGTGCTACACAGAAGGCTTTCCACGAAGTTCCTGAGAAGGGCAGAACGTGACGGACTCGAGGTATAATCAATTGGTGCTCATTCTACTGTTTAATCTTCAGATGAGCTCCAACAAAATAAGAAATAAACAAGAAAAACTCTACTGAGCCAAAATGTAAAATCCTTGGTCTCTATATTTTGGATTTAAAGCAGCATAAAAACAGCCTAAGTATAACCCACACATTTGGGTCACTGCAAAAACCACAGCTTTCCAATCAATGCTTTGCTGACACGACAGGCACCTATTCTGGTTTCTGAACAGCTGTCATGCCTAACCTGACTAAGGTACATTTCCCAGGTACAATATTACTGCACTGTTTCCACAGGCCAGCAATGTATGGGTGTTCTAACAAACCTTCCACTCAGGTTAGAGACACATACCTCTTTTTAGAAAAATCAAAATTAAGAGTTTTAAAAATTGTAATTCTCTTCAATTTTTAATCCCAAAAAACTTCAAAAGAAAGCATTCCTTTCAAAAGAAGGCATATGGAGCTGCATACCTGGTAACCAACCAATCAACCTATAACAAGTTAGCTGTACAGCGTAGTTACAAGTAGGTGGTCTATAGAAAGACTGGAATTCAAATCTTATTCACGCCATTAACTGGCTAAACGGCCTGTGATAATTATCTGTGATAAGCATTTCAGTTTTCTCTATTGTAAAATAAAGATGAAAATTCCTACCTCCCAGGACCTTAAGAAAGCTATCATCACTGTAAAGTAACATTAAATGCTAAGGAGGGAGGAGATTTCTCACTTGTAAAGAGAAAAAACTTGAAAACGAATTCTAAGATCCCTTTCTGTGCTAGTCTTTGATTCTAATATTACTTGTAGAGTTTAATTCCAATGAAGGCTCCCAGATTTTACACATACACACAACTGTGCATGCACACACACAACTTATTTTTACTATCAGGTACTTAAAAAAAAAAGTTAAGGTATTGTAGATAAATAAATACCAAGCTACAGTGCTTATTTGGGCTTTGAAGGAACAGACATCTATACAGAAACCATGTGTAAGAGTTTACATTCTTATCTTCAAAACCACACAGTTAAATTTGTAAGGCCAAAGGAACAACTGAACTATTTGTAAAATATCTGATTTTTTTGAATTATCTTAACATAGAACAATAGTTATAACGGGGGAAAAAATCTAAGATTTAGCAGTTAGTAGTGAGGTTTAACAGTTAAACTGGCAATCAGTATGAAGACAAGATTAACAAGTTACTAAAACTTCAGTACTTTTTACAAATTTGCAGATACACCCAATAATGATTATATTTAAATATAAATTCATTTGCAGAGTAAGAAGACCACACAACACTGTTTCATAAATACACAGATGAAAGTTCTTCCTCTAACAACCAGGCATAAAAAGTTTTTCTTTACATCTGAGAGACAAACAGTTGCTTACTGGGTAGGATTACTTTAGTTAGTGCCAGTCATTCCTATTACTACCACTCTGTGGCCGTGGAAAGTTACTATGATGTAATCAAAATAATTAATCAGCAAAAATGTAAGAATTATACATTCAAGTCACTAAGAATCAGAAAACTCTCTAAAAAACAAAAACAAAAAACAGAAAACTCAAGAGTAAGGTTTCCAAAATTTCTAGATACTGAAATATTCTGAAACTTTCTATATAAGGCAAGGTGACTTTTAACTGAAAATACAGTAGTCTGGCCTTCTTGCTTTTTGTTTTTTAACAGAAGAAGTAGCTCGTTCAATTCTCCTAGAACTGGACTGGTCTTATCATCGACTGAGGTCTCTTCACCTTGGAGCATTTCCTCTCTGTGGTCCTGGCGATTGCCAGGTCTTACCTCCCATCTGGGGCACAGTAGGCAGCTGCCCGCACAGAACCATGCCTGCAGCCCTTGCTCCCTCCTGGCATCCCAGGGCAGCCAGTGTTCAGATAATCAGTTAGAAAACCGGCTCACTGAGAAAAGGAAGGCTCTCACTTATATTTGCTCACTGTTTATACAGGAAAAAAATTCACAACACAATTCAAACCTCATCTGAAAGGGATCCAAAAGAAAAATAGTAATAGGCTACTTTGAATAGGATCTGAAAGTCTGCTTCAATAAGATTGTTCCCCTCATCTGTCAGTATGATTCACATCATGCTTAAGAGGAAATTAAAATAACACATTATTTCCCCTCTTTATCCATTGTTCTACAAGCTTTCTTTAAAAAGTTCCCAAAGGGACAAAAACAGAATTCTAGGAGGTTTTTTTTAACTTGTATTTTAAATATATCTGACAAACAAGAACTCATTATCCTTATTTAAAATGTAGCTATGGTTGATCAAATAGTCTTTTTTTAAAAAAAAAAAAAAAAGCTTCCCTATTCTTCAATCAACAATGCAAGCAACTTTATATTTAAAAAAAATGTCCACATCACTTTTTCATTAAACGTCTTTGCCAGTAGAGGGAGCAAAATTATTCAGTTTATCACCAATAAAGTTAACTGACCACCAAACTGCATCTTGCACATTATAAATGTTTAGAGTCTTTTACGTATGCAATCTTAAATATTTAAAAGAATAAACTCACACTATAGCTTAAAGGCCTACATTCTAGAAGAAGAACTGCTTTGACTTATTTGCAAATACACACATAAGAATACCATCCAATCTGTTATCAACATCAGGTTTCCAATGAACACAGTAATACAGATTCTTATATTCTTCTTTTACCGTGAGGAAACTGATTGCCGTATCTAATTATCATAGAAGAGGGGCCCTAAGGTAAGGCCAGGACGAGTTTAGATTACAACAAAGTCAAGTAAGAATCAGGGAAACAGAAAAAATGCAAAGTTTTAATGCATTCACCGGTCATTTTATTCACTCTAATGAGAGATTATATTAGAAATTAAAGAAACAAATATAAAATATCTGAAGAAATGAATGAAAAAGTTTACAAGAAAATGTAAAATTTCACACAGCTCCTACTGCTTCCTTTTTAGCTGCAGTTAAAGTATCAAAAAGTATATTCAAAGCCCCCCCCAAATAGGTAAAAGACGATCAGCAATTGAATTTACATGGTAAGTGAAAAAGTGTCACTAACACAAGACACACAATCATCTAAGGGGTATTTATGGGCTAATCAATTATCCCATTTCCCATTTTTCTAAAATAATGAGCAGGTGATTCTGAATCTATTGTAATTAGTATAGGGAACTTTTCTGTCATACACTTTCAAGAAGGAAAACTGCATATTACTGTATAATTTGTGGCCACAATTCTTCATTAACACACATTTGCCTCAGTTTCTTCACATGAAGATGACACCACCACTGCCTGCCTCCCAGTCTGAGAGGGAAACACGTCAAGGGCCAGACGCACTGCGCATTGCCTTCCACGGGGCATGCGTGATCAGCTTTGGCTTGCTGCCCTGGGCTATAGAGCTCCAAACAAGACTCAGTTCCTGCAGTAAACCAGGTGCGCTCGTACACACCTGTAACCCCAGCTACTCAGGAGGCTGAGGCAAGAGGAAGACTGAGAGTTTAAGGCCAGCGTGGGGAACTTAGGGAAGGCCTGTCTCCAATAATAAAACAAAGTACTGGAGCCAGCACGAGAATGCTTGCTCAGCATATGCAAAGCTCTGGATTCAATCCCTAGCACAGGAAAAACGAACAAAAAAAAAAAAATAAAGGAGTTTGATCTAAACCTCATCAAGATGAGTACCTTTATTTTGTGCAATTTGAAGTTCATTTTAACTAGCAAAGATCAGTGGGTAAGAATAAAAAGCCATCAAATGCTGGTTTCCATTCTTACAGAAACCCTAGTTAGTGGCCAAACCTTTTCTGTCTCTGTACCTCCCCCTCCTTCCAGGTATCCAGTACCTTCACCAACATCTGTCCCCAAGCCTTCTTTACCCTTATTCTTACCACTGAGATGCCTTAAGAAAAGTTCCCGGGAGACAGAGCAGCTCAGTGGCAGAGACGGAACACAAACTCCTTTGACTGCAAAGCCTATGTTTTTAAGGATTATGCAATACTGATTTGAATTTGAATGTGCTCTCTCAGCGTTTTCTTGGCATCAAGCTCTAACACTTGAGAGAGAAAAGGGGATACAGGTCAGGTATCAGGTGGTGGGTGGCAGAGAAGCTGGAGGGGCCAATGGGCGGCCATCCCACCGCCTCAAAACAACACACGGGTCCTGAGCACACTTGGTTTGTGAAACATAAACGCAGGGTGTCAACACGAGGATGCACTTTTCTAGTACAAACCTAACAGCTCTCATTTCAGAAACACTTCTGGCACTTTCTCCCTAGCTTGCGATTTAAACCTTGTCTCAGTAAAGTTTTACCTACCTCTTCCATTTCAAAGGAGTCCTTCTGTTGGGTCATTATATTCCTAATGGAGGGGAGGGTCAAGGCTACGCAAGGTTCTTTTTCAGATGTGGACACATGGATATGTTTCAGGTCACTACTGTCTTCTAGCTCACCGTGGCTGGACACAGTAAAATCACTCCCTAAATCAGGCTTTACAATGCCAGACTCCTCATGCAGGTTACTCTCATGATTCTGAGTTTCATTCCTTTGCTCACGGTCAGTTTCTTGGTTAAAATTACTGCTTGCTTCATCAGAAAGCCTGGCAGGGTCAGCACTCTCCTTAGCAGGTCCTGAGCTGCCTGAGACTTCTTCTTTAACTGTAGCCAACATAGAAGACGAGTCCTTTTTCTTCACAACCTTTTGAGACTTCGGATCATTTTTATTGCCACTTTCTTCCATTAGTGAAACACTGAAAATCTTTCCTTTTTCAACTCCAGGGGAAGGACTACTGCCCTCTCCTTTCTCTGCTTTATCAACACATAAGTTTAGTTTCGATAGTGTTTTTATTAAACGATTTGCAGTGTTACTGCGTGTTAAAGGTGGAGGCGTATCTGTCTCCTTGGTAGAGGCCACCGAGGATATACTGCCAATTCTCTGAAGGGGCGTTCCCGAGACTTGGGAGTATAAAGAAGAAAATGCATTGGCCACAGTAGTAAGCACTTCAATTTGGCGAAAACGGCCTACACAAAAGAAATAAAAATATATTTATATTTACATACATTTACATTTATAAATACCCATCCAGTAAACCTATACTGTTCAGCATTCTACCCAAATCACAAATACTGTGAAATCATAGCACAGGATTCTTCCTTATCTAACACTTAAATCTTCCTAACACTTAAATCTTGTATATTCAGTAGGTACAGAAAAGGAACATTTTTACTGTAAACCTAAAATTTACCCAAAAGACCAAAAACAAAAAAAGCACAAAGAAAGCATGAGGACAATACTGAATAAAACAGAACTAGCTATTGAAGGATAGCTGTGAGTGGTGCTTAGGTCTTGAACTCCACTAAGACTCTTCCAAATGTTTTACTACAAAAAATGTACAAGGCAGGTGTGGTGGCACAGGTCTGTCATCACAGCAGCTGCCAGGCTAAGGCAGGAGGATCCTTACCAGTTCAAGGCCACCCTTGGCTGCATAGTGAGATCAAGGACCGCCTGGACTATATAGCAAGATCCTATCCCAAAAAAACACACAAACAACAAAAAAATGTACAAGGGGCTGGGGATTTAGCTCAGCGGCAAAGCGCTTGCTTGGCAAGCGCAAGGTCGTGAGTTCGGTTCCCGGTACCGGAAAAAAAAAAAAAAAAAAAAAAAAACCAAACCAAAACAAACAAACAAAAAAATGTACAGAAGTACTTTACATACTGAAAGAATTTACAGAGCTCTTAAAAAGGATCCATGAACAACCAAAAGCATACTACTTTTTGAGCCATTAGTCAACAGAGTAAAAATAAGCAAAGATATAATATCAATAAAAATGGTAAAATTGACGCTATCCTTAGATTTACAGTAAAACACCTAAAATGAACTGACTTCATGTAATATTATGAAGGCTCTACTCCTACTTTTCCCTTCTTGAATAAATGCACTGTGGAGACAAGTACAAGGCTTCACAGGTAAGTTATGACAACACTTAAAAGAATCCATAACTGGGGAGAAGGAAGAACAGATGTTAACCTCTTTAAATAGAATAAGAACTCAGAATAAGTAACATAGCTATTGTGTTAATTAACATCATTAACTCTCCAGTGCTATTCTTGAAATCAATAAGGCTTTAAAAATGAAACCATCCTACTGTAGATGGTATCATCTTAAAAATAATATGTTTACAATTAAAAACCTTACTGGTTAAAGCATAATTTGGGTTCTCTACTTCCATCCGTTGCATTTGAGCACTCAAAAATACTTTAATATCTATTCCTCTGGCAAATGATGATGAATTAAAAAATCTGGAAGGAATTTTAGAAGCAATATCGGGTTCATCTCGTCCAAATCCAAGATTATAAAGAATTTCTTCAGGATCTTCCTCATAAAGTTCCAACAATTCTGAAACACTACCAAAAGAACACAAAAGACGCAAGATATAAAGTAAATTTATAGTCAAGACCACATTATAAACTAAACACATTCTTGCTTTCCTATGATAAAATCTTCTCAGCTTTTGTTCTTTGAACTATTATTTATTTCAATATCTTTTATATCATGGATAATGAAATATACACGTATTAGCAGGGGTCCACTCTTGCAGGCTGTATTGAGAAAAAGAGCTGACCCTAAGAACATGCTCTGAGGAGTTCCTTTCCTTAGCTTTTTTCTCATTTTAAGAGTTTCCCAGTAAAGCAATTAAAATAATTGAAGGACAGAAGAAGCAGAATAAAGGAAAAGCAGAACAAAGGAGATTAAAGAAATGAAAAAGAAAAATACACAAGGAAGTTTGTAAACTTTGGTACTGAAGAACAAGCTGCAACACTTGAGCTTTCTTGCTATCTTTGTCTTAGGAGAGCAATAAAGTGCACTTGATCTCAGAATGGATGGGAAGAGCCAACTTTCACCTCACCACTCCATTTGGGAAGGAGGAGTAAGGTAAGGAACAGTACAGGTAACTTCTTGCCCTGATTCTTTTAGGAATTAAAAGATGTCCTATCCCTTCCTGCTCACACCAGTGACAATTCAGGCCCTCTAAAGCTCAGTGAGTAGGAAAGTTAGCTGAAATGTGAACAGGACACGTCAGTCTTTCAGATAAAGGCTCAGACTGTAATAGAATAATTGGGTGACAGCTTAAACTGGTCCCACAGGCCCATGTGTTGGCTTACCTTAATGCGTATTTTAAAGATCTTTTGTTTAATGTGTTAAAAATTATTCTTAAACATCAAGCTTTAAATTAGAAAAGTTCATTCTAATTTTTATGTCAGAGATAACTTGAATCCCTAAGAGAACAGGCGAATTTTAGTTCTCCACAATTAGAAGTTACTCTACTATTAACTTTCTCTCTCTGGGTGTTGACAGGACTCTAAATGTTCATTAATGGATTCTAGCAGCATTATAAACATATTTGCTGCTTTTTAGTTAATCTGTTCTCTTAAAGAAGCTCCTGTCAGTTACCCAGAAAACACTTTAGATCCCTTGATTGCATACTATCAAAGTCAAATCTAACACCAAAAATGTGAGAAGCATGTCAGCATAACAAGCATGTCCACCATAACTTCACAGCAAGTTACCTTGAGACTGTCCCACTACTTTTCCCAGAGCCAGTGGAATTCATACTTCTCCCTTTCTGATGAAACTGGAGTCTTCTCTCTTTGGCCAAGATACTATTGCTAAAAAAAACCCAATAATATAAAGCTTTACTTTCACTTAGTGTTCTTAAGCTTTAAAAAGAAAGAGAACCAAACAGTTACGTACCAGCTTTCAATTTGAGCATTATTTTCATGGAGGTGGTTAGCTACAGGTAGAAATAAAATAAAATGTAGAGCATAGTTATTAGAAGAACTGTAACTACGACGACACAGTTATCAAGAAAGCAAGTTATCCCTTATAGTACAGCTAACTGCCTAGTATAGCAAAGCATCATCTTGGCTCATTAAATCCGCATCATTAATATAGATCAATAAGACTGGTAATGGCCGCTTTTAGAGGCTATTTAAATTTTCTGGCAACATAAAACTACTACTTCCACCTGAGTACTTAAAAAGAACTATGGTTAACTAATTAAATTTAGCAGTTTAGAAGAAAGTATCTGGCAAGGCAGCATACATGTGGTATACATATTACATTTATATTTAATAGCCAGGCGTGGTGGCACACGCCTGTAATCCCAGCACTTGGTAGGCTGAGGCAGGAGGATCCTTATGAGTTTGAGACCAGCCTGGACTACAAAGTGAGCTCAAGGCCAGCCTGGACTGCATAGCAAGCCCTGCCTCAAAAAGACCAAAAAAAAAAAAAAAAAAATTAAAAGCTGTTTATGAGGAATATCCTTAGAGCAAAAAAGCATTATTTAATGTAGCAATAGTATTCATGTACTTCTGATGTCTTTATTTACAACTACAGCCAATTTTTCATTCATATAACTTGAAAACTTCTACTCATTTCAACATACATTTTCCTTTAAAAACTGCCTTTCAACTTTATCCTTGATTAACAAGGTTGAAACAAGTAAATGTTAATGTTGAGAGTTAAATTTATTACTTTTAAACCTTATAGGTAAATATAAAGAATAAGATTAATTATAAACATATCCATCTTAGCACACTTGGTTTTTGTACTTCTGACCTGCAACATCACATCTTTTTGTGTCTCTGTACATCCGTCTATGGTGCCTCACACACAGCATTCCTCATATATTTACTCAAGTAATGAAAAAAGGCCTTGAAGTAACTTGCAATGAAACAACATAACTTCTTTAGTCTCTTATAGGACTCTATTAGTTTTTGGTTTTCAATAAAATCATGCAATATTATGAAACTACCAAGGAGGGTCTCCAAAGTGCCATTTAGAGTAACGCTGAAACGCGTTTTAGAAAGGGGCTGGCAGTGTGTGCCAGTGTGCTGACTGGGAGGCAGGAAGCAGCTGCTCGTAACACAGTGTAGTCCTTGAAAATACACTGACGAGAATTCACGTATTCTGCACTGCTCAGTGATAGAAGGTACTAAATAACTGATTTTACCCTCAGATGGACTGAAAACACACACACAAAAATCAAGGGTACTAAATTAAGTGGATAAATTCACTGTTTACAATTTTTAAACATTTAATGAATGCTTAATTTTTCTAAAGAAAGTACATATTAATACCAAGCCAAAGAGCTCCCAATAACCCATTCAACTTGAAAGAAAACACAAATGAACTATAAAATACCTTTCAAAATACCAGTGAAATAATAATAAAAAAAAATCTTAATTTTACATAGTAGGAAGTTTTATTACGATCCCACAGGAAAACATTATATAACCTGAGACAAATTAAAAACAGTATACACTTTAAAAATGCTAATGCAGTATGGAATAGTCACCAGCACAACAATTTCGACATTCTATTCACTGTTATTTTGTCTTTCTCCTCTTCTAAAAACCAGGAAAAAGAAGACACTTAAATGCAAAGAGAAAGACAAGCCACAGCTGCAAATACAACGTAAGTCCACACTAAAAATAAGCTTCACTTTAGTTTTCTCATATATAAATATTTAAGCTTCCTTCCTTCTTCTGGAGAGCTCTCCTCTCCGTCAGATCGCCAGAGTCTGCCACAAACAGTTCTTTCCAGCACTCAAGTCCAGGAAAGTCACAGATAAAGACATTTCCCAGCGGTGTTTCAGAGCCACTCCTACAGTGTCCTACAGGCTAGGACTACATTATTAACATGTCCTATAAAAGGAAAGTATTGTGAAATGTGAGCCATTTTCAAAATCTTTACATTTAGCTCTTACAATCACAAACCTAAAACTACACCTTTCTTCCCTTTTTTTAAAAAAAGAAGGTAAAACTACATGAGAACACAGTTCTTCCAAACAAACATACCTTCAGCTCCCAAGGACAAATCATCTTCAAAACTTCCTCCATTTCTCACAAGCACACCTGAAAGAAATACGAAAATTCACGAAGTTCACCCTGGTGTTATGCTCTTCCCCACTTCCATGTGAAATCACTGTTTTGGTTCAAACAAACTGAGCAAGCAAAATATTTTATAAGATACAGAAAAATATTTTGGACCTAACTGTACTGAGAAATTATTATGATTACATAATTTCAAGAAGCAACCATAAGCTTTTACTGTATCATTAAGAAATCATGTTTGTGGCCAGGAAAGGTACTCAGAAGCCAGGTCTACAGGCTATTTTACACTTATACGCCTCTGAAGGTGTTTGGTTAGGTAACATAGCTTACCCAAGAGTTCCCTGGAAAACCAGAACCTGCAACAATCATTTCTCTCCCCCTTCACAGTAAACCAGGCACACAAGCTAGATTTTCCTGATGCTATAAATGCTTTCTATGTGCCTTGCCACTACCTGCACATTCTTGCTGTACTCTGAACTTGAGAATTCTACCTTACATAGGGTGGTAAAACTTCAGGTGTGGCAATTTCAGTTAATGTAAGCAAAGAAATACTGCACTAAAGCTGACCTAGTTTGCTCAATAAGTAACTTTCCTTAAGCCTATCATATATCTATATTTAATTAGTCTTTATAATATCTAACTGGGCAATAAGAAGGTAGAATTTACATTATGGCAAGGTTTGGTAATTTGCTTAAATTCCCCACTGTTTTATGGTTTATGGCAAGGTTTCTCTCCCTTTGGGCATGTAGCTCAGAACAGTATATTTTATAAACATGAACATCACTCATAATTCGTATACACACTTTCACCCAGAGGACAAGTGAAAGAGGACCCTCGTTAAAGAAGAGATTTGGAAAACCAACTCCCTCTTACCCTTCAGTGTACTGCCGCTCTGCTCGTCCAGCGAGGCTCCCAAAGGTGTACTGAAACCACAGAACACAGAAGCCTCAGTCGTGTGAAGGCCATCTGGAGAACTGTCACCAACAGCCTGAAGAGCTACAGCTAAGCAAGCATCCAATCAGTTTACTCTCCTCCCAAAACACACAAGGAATGTGAGTGGATTACATAAGTAATATCCCACTGGCTAAGCAAACACCTATCAAGTCACTTTACCAGAAGGGCTTAATCACGTCTGATCTACCAGTGATTAAGCACAAAAATGCCAATCACTAATGATATGAATTGGCCTCTTCTTTGCAAAAACAAAAACAAAAAACCCCCAAAAGAATGACAATAGGTAGTATGAAAATATCTGTCCCTCCCAATCCTCTCCATACTGACAGAAAACAGGAAGAGAAGAAAACAAACCTTGAGTAGCAGGTAACTTAGTCTAACTAGAAATGAAGTGCAGTTTCCTTAATCCTCACCACTCCCACTTCTGGGCACCATCCAAGTGCCTTCTGTGTCTGCTCTAAAGCTTCAAATTCACTTTCTGCTTCCAAACTAGAAAACACCTATCTTCTTCACTTGACTCTTGAAAATTACTAAAAAGTTGGCTTGAGAATTAACATTAAGAACCTGCCTTCCTTCAAAGTTTTTTCACATTTTTGTCATTCAAACACAAGTGACTCAGAAATTTCTTTTCTCAAATATACTTTTGCTTTTCTCAAAACTAAGTTACAGTAAGAAACAGGTCCATTTCAAAAATTCTGTTTTGTGATACAAATCTTTTTTCAGTAACAATTTATACCTGTGAGAAATTCACATCCAACATGGGTTCAATCACAAATATACCCAAGAAATGCTAACTGAAATGGTACTTAAAAGTTGAAAGCAGTTTTCTGAAAATTAGTGTTTTTGAAATGTACACAAATCACAAGCAATTCCTGTGCAGATATTGATAAAAACTGTAAGCTAAATTTTTGCATTTTTTATTTTAATAAAATTCTATGCCTTTTAAAAATCTTTTTCCCTAATACTTCCTTCCGTAGGCCAAAACACTATCACTCCACCCAGTCTGTGCACTATCAGAAAATGGCACTTAAAATATAACTGGCATTCTCCCTCAGAAACGAGTCTTAGATTTTATAGTTACTCTACTGCAAATTCTATAAAATCCCCCCCCATACTAATTCATGCAAACCTAACCAAAAAAGAAATGGTTATCAAAATAAAGACTCCCTTAAAGGAAAGAAACACAGTATCTCTATTCAGGATATGGACAGCAATGAGAAGACAATCTGAGAATTTATCCAACGGGAAAAAGCTGTCTTCAGCTCATTTGCACATAATGTACAAAATACATGGATGTTCCACTCTGGAACTATCGTATATTGCTATTTAAAAATAACAATAGAGTGCCACATATCCTAGCAGTCAAATCTACAGTGATATAGCCAACGTTGAAAGACCACTTGTTCTAGTGTCCTGCGCAAAAGTGAAAACCACTTTTGTATAGAATAGATGCAACTACAGGAGTAAGAAAGAAGCCTATGAGATACGAAGCCATGAGTTACAGAATCTACCCACATAAATCAAGTTTAGCAACAAAGCTTCTGGAATTTTCAGGGACAACTGTGTCCTGCTGAATGCCAGCATCTCCTACTGCACTTCTGAAAAGATGTACTTACTTACTCATCGCTTCCACAATCTTGATCCCTACACACCATCCAATGTGATTTTTCTCCTCTATTTAAAAAAGTCCTTTCGAATACACACTTGGCTTCAACAATAAAACGCTTCAAGCTTATTCTGAATGCTAAACCTATTTTAAGATTCCAAGCGTAAGACAATACACTCTTAAAGAGTGTATGTATTTAAATCAAGTCTGAGATGGAAGGTTTTAAAAGACCTGAGTAAAAGTAAACAAAACATCCTCTTCAGATCTTTTTCTACAGGGAAACCTACCACATACTGGTTTCACAGCATCTTTCCTAAAATGTCCTGAAAGTGCTTATTTATAATTTGAACCTTCTAAATTTTAGACTTGATCCACTCTGGGTGGAGCCACCTAACATCTAAGGCCGTAGTCTTCTAATTTGGAAATCAAGGGCTTGTTAAGGCTGGGGGGGGGGGCACCCGACGACCTCAAGCAGTGTATCTATCTCTGTGCATCTCTATAGAGAAGGCCCACATACTTCATAACATCTCAGGAGGGTCTCTGACACCTCCAAGAAAATGTACAGAGTTCTGTAGTGAAGACGTTCTGTAAGCCTCCAGTTAATCAAATTGGACATTAACACAGTAACGGCCAATACCGTACTGTATTTGTCTTTCGAGAAAAAAAATAAACTGGCATATGCAAAAATCGCTTAAAAACAAAGATCTTCCGTAGTTCTACTCCTTGAACAAAACACGAAGACAAATCTAAGTGAGAAAGCAAAATATGCTCAGAAGAACCAACCAAAGTTTGAAAACTATATTCTTCGTATAAGGTTTTATAAGCAGCAATTAAACTGGAAACAAATAAAAATGAAACAAGCAGATTTTACCATAGTCAGATTTACTTGCAATATGATTCATCGCCTCTGTACTTTATCAAACACTTCTGTAACAGTTGCCAAAGCACGCAATTAAACAGATTTACACAGTCTGACTGCCTTCAAAGCTCTATTTCCTTCTGAGAATTCCACTGCCATCTCACAAACCCACGTCCAAGGAGTGAACTACACGCATAAAGTCAGCTAGTTTCAACAGCTCCTCAGCACTACGAAGGCGCACAAGCAAAATTAAAGCCCAGGGAGCGTCAATTAAACTCTTCTGAAACGCATCTGCAAGGAAAATGATCCAGCGCCCGAGACACAGACGCCAGAACAAAAGTAAAATGCAACATCCTATTGTGAGAATTCTCTAAAGTACGGGCAGAGCCAGCCCGGCCTCGAGCGCTGACCGCACGCAGCGGAGCCCAGGTCTAACAAGTGCGAAGTCAGCCGATCCCCAGCTCCGCGGCGGCCCCGGACTCGCTGAAAGGAGGAAGCTCTGCGCGCTCGCTTTCCGGTTCAGACCACAGCCGCCGCGGGACCCGGGGTGCCGGGCGCGGCCCCCACTCACCGGCAGTCCTTGAGCCAGATCGCGATCTTCTCGTTGGGCACGCTTCCTGCGGGCAGAGGGGCACAGCGGTTAGGGCCGCCGGGCAGGGACGCGGGCCGGGCCAGGTGCCCAGGTGCGGGCGGCGGGCTCCGGGCTCCGG